GTTTGATAACTAAATATATTGAATACTAATATATATATATATATATATATATATATATATATATATTATATTATAAAACATTTGATAAAAAAAACTCCTAAAAACCATTTTATATGCATGAAATACTGTTTATTGATGCATATTACTTAAAATTCAATATTACAAATAAACTGTGCATAAATACAACTTATTAAAGCTCCATGTTTGAATTGGTGTAACTAACTGCAGATAAACATAGTCAAATACAAGATAAACATTTTATTTTAAAAATAAAAACTCTAGAATATAATTAGGATAATCATTGATTTCTAACAGAATACTTAATTATTATCCTTATAAAAAATTATATTATTAAATCAAAAATAAATTACTTCGTTATTAAATCTAAATTAAATTATAATAAAATATTAAAAAACAAGAACTTTTAAATAGTTAATTTATACTAATATTGATATACTTATTTTCGAAATTTTATGATATCTTCAAATTTATATTTTATTAAAAAATAAAAACATTATCTCTTTCTCAAAACCACATAAACCATATTATAACATCTACAAAGACAGAATAAAACGAAACATTAAAACTGAGATATATCTTTCTGCATTACACGAGTACCCTTCTCGTATATATAAACTAGAAAAGTACTCGTGCAATGCAGCGAGACACATCTCGATTTTAGTGTTCTATTTTATTATTTGTCTTTGTCGATGTTATAATACGATTTTATGTGTTTTTAAGAAAGCAATAATGATTTTATTTTTGAATAAAATATAAATTTAAAGATATCATAAAATTTTGAAAAAAACATATCAATGTTAATTCAAATCAACTATTTAAAAGTTCTTATTTTTATGTAATTTCTTTAATTTTTTCATTATAATTTAATTTAAGTTTAATAACGAAATAATTTATTTTTGGTTTAATAATATAATATTTTATAAAGATAATAATTAAGTAATCTGTTATAATTCAATGATTATCCTAATTATATTTTAGATTTTTTATATTTATAATGATATGTTTATCTTGTATTTGATTATGTCTATCTGTAGTTAGTTACACGAATTCAGATATGAAGATTTAATAAGTTGTACTTACATACAATCTACTTGCAATCTTGAGTTTTAAGTAATATGCATTAATAAACAGTATTTTACGCATAAAAAGTGGTTTTTAAGAGTTTTTGTCAAATACTTTATAATATAGTATAGATAAATGATATAATATAATCAATAATAACTCTAAATAATTGATAGTTGATATTAATGTATAATATCTAATTAAAACTAACTAAATAATTTTCAATTAGTATTAATCACAATTTAATAATAATCAATATTTATAAATACTAATAATAATTAATTTTATTAATATTAGTAATAATTGTTTTTAATTACGGTTATAATTTGAAAAAGGGTTAAAAACTTCCAAAAAACTAATACAAATAGTTTTTTCAATAGTTATTTTATATCCATATATTTAATTTGAAGAATTAGTTTGAATTATTCGCTTAAAATTTGATGAACTTCATTTCGCTTTCAACAATTCATGGAAGAATGAATTAGGAAAAACCTACGACTGTACCATCTACAAAAAAAGACATCATGATAGTCAATATGAGACCTCACCACCCATCAATGCATGGTGTTCTTCGACTCATTGTTACTCTAAAAAAACCATATTTTGACTGCGACTATATCAACAGTACTTTTAGATAATCATAGTTGATGATAACATCACTGTTCTCATCCCTATTACAAAACCGTACATGAGATTTTCATCTCATATGGCTCCTCAACCCTACCTTCTTTATCACTGAGCGGTCATTTAGAGGTCTTGGCTGGTGATCCAGGCTGTTTCCCTCTCGACGATGAAGCTTATCCCCTATCGTCTCACTGGCCGACCTTGACCCCTGTTATTTTGAGGTCATATCTAGTATTCAAAGTTTGCCTCGATTTGGTACCGCTCTCGCGGCCCGCACCGAAACAGTGCTTTGCCCCTAGATGTCTAGTCAACTGCTGCGCCTCAACGCATTTCGGAAAGAACCAACTAGCTCTGGGTTCGAGTGACATTTCACCCCTAACCACAACTCATCCGCTGATTCTTCATATTAAAAAAATAAGCTAACTTCTACATGTTACCAAACAATTCCTCTATTTGATAGTAGCTTTCTATTAGTAGTGTCACAAACATAAAGGGTATAGAAGGTTGCTTCCTAAAACTCTAGGGACTAAACACGGCAAACCAACAAAAGTTTTGCTTTCAACTAAAAAACATTATCGTCATCATGATCATCATAAACAATCATACCTCATCACCACCATACAATCATACACCATCATCACCAGATCATACCCTATCAACCCCCCTCCCGCCCTACCTACCTACGCATTTCAACCCAAACTCCTTCACTTCCCCCCAATCGCCTTTTTCAGAGAAATGGCAATTCCTCTGTGTATTTCCCGTTTTGCCCCTTTAATACACCTTTATTTACTCTTACTCTCACTCCCAACATCCCTCGTCTCCGCCGTCAACATTACCCGTCTCTTGTCTCCTTATTCCGATCTCTCCGACTTCTCCGACCTCCTTTCAACCACCGCCGTCGCCGCCGATCTCTTCCACCGTACCTCCATCACCCTCCTAGCCGTCCCCAATTCCTTCCTCCGCTCTTCTGACCTCGTCCGTCGCTCCTCCTCCATCAATGTCGCCGATGTCATCCGCTACCACGTCCTCCTCCAATACCTCTCCCTCCACGACCTCCGCCGCTACCCTCCGTCGGGAAAACTCATAACCACCCTCTTCCAAACCACAGGCCGCGCCGCTGACAGTTTCGGTTCCGTCAACATCACACACGACCCTTATACCGATACAACCACCGTCCAATCGTCATCAGTCTATCCACAATCAACCAACAACGCCACCGTCATCTCTCCCATCGTAACCCTACCTTACAACGTCAGTATCTTCACCGTCAATTCACTCATCATCCCATACGGATTCGATCTGATGACGTCGGAAAGTCGACCACCGTTAGGGCTCAACATCACTAAAGCTCTAATCGACGGCCATAACTTCAATGTAGCAGCATCAATGTTTTCAGCCTCGGGAGTCGTGCAGGAATTCGAATCTGAAAAAGGTGGAGCAGGCATAACCTTGTTCGTCCCCACAGACGATGCTTTCTCCTATATTCCGGTGACGGAAAACTTTCAATCATTACCCGCCGACCAAAAAGCCGATGTATTACGTTTTCACGTCTTACTTTCATATTACCCACTTGGATCGCTGGAATCGATAGTGAACCCATTTCAACCAACCCTAGCTACTGAAGATAAAGGAGCAGGAAGGTTCACCTTGAACATTTCTCGGGTTAACGGGTCGGTTGCAATTAGTTCGGGCATCGTCGAAGCTTCGGTGACCCAAACCGTATTCGATGAAAACCCTATCGCAATTTTTGGGATTTCAAGGGTCTTACTACCGAAAGAAATATTCAGGAAGAAAGAGAATGCTGAGTCACCGTCGATATCACCTCCGCCGCCGAATTCTTCACCGGAATTGAATGGGCCGTCGTCGTCGTCGCCGGGGCTCCGAGAGGAAATGCATTCTACGGCGACGGTACAGAACGTGAATTTGGGTTTGTATTTGTATACAGGATTGTTGTATGTATTATTAATTTAATTAACTTTATCTATTAAATTAAATATAATTTGATTTTCTAAATAAAAAAGCAAATAAATTTTATATTTTTAATTAAGGAAAAAAAGAAAAAAAGAAAGGAACATTCGAAAACCCATAATTGAGGAGTGTTGAAAAAGGGTTGCAGGGGCAGAGCTTCCCCTTTGGAAAAAAAATATCTGGAAAGATCCAATCAGAATGATTTGCTTTTGTGCATTGTTGGGTTGTACTTGTACTTGTACCCAAACATGCATTAATGAGTTGTACATTTATGAATATAATAGTAAGTTGCTAACAACGAGACAAACGTTCAGTTGAATCATAAACCTGAAGGCCGGTACATGGCATACGAGTACTCCATTTTCTATTTATCATCAACATATTAAAATTAACCACAAAAATTGTATAAAACTATTTTTAATAAAAATTAAAAAAAAGTGTATATAAAAATTGGTTTTTAAGAAATATGTAAAAATTGTATAAAAATATGTCAAGACATTATTGTAAATATATTTAAAAAAAATATGATTTTTTTTTTTATTTTATAGAAAAGTAAATTATGTTAAAAAGTAATGTACATTCATCTGATTCATATTTTGGGTTATGTACTTTCGGAACTATCATTGTCGTACCGAAGGTGTAAACTCTTAAAGTTTTAAGTACCTGGTTTACCTGTTCTTCCGATAACCAGTCAACCAATGATGATGTGTAATTTTAAAAATATGACATGGCAATAATTATGACATGTAATGTATTTAGTAAATGATGTGGCAAATTTAAACCATCGAAAACATTTTGTTCTTCTGACCCCTCCCTCAAAATCCTAAATCGCCGATCGGGAGATTTTGATGCCAAATGTGTCTCAATCGAAATGTGAAATCTAGGGGTGTTCAAAAAATCCGTTGGACCGTTCAAACCGGCCGAACCAAGTCAAACTGGACCGTTTTTGGCGGTTTTAGCGGTCTGGCGGTTTGGTCTGGTTTGGAAAATAGCAAAACCGGACAGTCCGGTTTGGTTTGCGGTCTGGAACTTTTTTTAGGCGGTTTGGACCAAACCAACCTCCAAATACATATTTATTTATTTATTTTAGTATTACCAATCTCAATTATGATCCAAATATATCTCTAAGCCTAACATCTAGCATAATCAAATCCAAATGAATCGCCGCCTAAAAACCACTAAACCAATAAACATATTGACACATTTGACATTGACGGTCTCCAAATTTTGAAATCCCTCAAGAACTCTACCAATTTATCGATCTTTCCTAATTCATGGTTTGATTTCGGCGCACATCATTAAGACATGAACCAAGTGATTCAACCAACTAAGATTTGTCTTTTATTTTGTTTGGTTAAGAATTGAAGGTTGTGAAGTCGTGGATTTTGTTACTCAATATTCACAGTGGAATTGTAACTTTGTTAATTTGTTTGTTTTCTAATATGTATTATATACTTATTTGTTTGAACTTGGATTGTTTGGATTTTGGACTCAAGAGCTGTTTAATTATTACATTTATTTGTTTGGATATTTTGTTTTGTTAAAATGAATATTTAATCTAAAATTCTAAATTATATATGTTTTTTAAGTTTAATATTTGAAGTCCATTAAAGGCCCAAACCGCCTAAACCAGTCAGACCAGACCGCCTTTTCGTGGTCTGATTTGACCGGTCTGGGCACTTGATGTCAAACCGCTCGGTTTGAAAATTTTATAAACCACTATTACGGTTTAGTTTGTGGTCTGAGGGATTAAACAGCCCAAACCGGACCGCGAACACTCCTAGTGAAATCTGATCAAGACTCAACAAACACTGAAGAAACTTTATAGTTAAATCAGATGAATCTTGCTCTACAAAATTAGTTTTTGTCTTATCCTCTTGCACAAAAAGGACAACCCCATACCTCACAGAAAAGCACATGTACAAAGTTACTTTATTGTCTCCAAGCGTGCTTACCTACTTTGTGAAAGACAACTGTTCATATGCAGCCAAAAACATGCATATCTGAAGACAAAGAACAAGCTATCCACTATAAGTTTGCCATGTGGTTTGTACCCTTCGACTTGCATTAAATACAATGGGTATAAATAGTTGAGAAGACTCTCTTCTCTGCAAGCACTCACAAGCACCTTCTCAGCAAGGACTTTCTTTCTTGCTCTTTTCTTTTTTGTTCTTATCTTCTGTGCAACTTGTGTGCTTCTAAGACTGTTTAGATTTTAATCTTATCTTCTTCCGTAACAATCTGTAAATTCTACAATGATATTCTTTTATCAATAAATGAATTAAAAAAAAAGTGAAAATTATGTGTTTGTATTCATCCCCCCTCTTCTACAAAATGTTACTTTTAAACTCTTGTAGATCCATTTGGGACCAACAAGTCGTATCATAGCAGTGTTTATTATCTCATCCTTAAAGATAATCTACTAACCATTTTTTTCTTAAATGGCTTTGAAAAACAAAAACACAAACTTTCACGATAATGACTCTCTTGTCAAACCTCCCAGATTTAGCAGAGACAAGTTCAGTCTCTGGAAAAATCGGACTTCCCTATTTCTTCGAAGGTATGGATCATGAGATCCCATAGTATGTTGAAATGGACCATATGATCCATTTGCAATATCTCCAACAATTTCTGCCACTGCTACCACTGCTGCCAACCTGAAAGATAGATTCCAAAGCTTTCTCATCAATGAAGCGATGAATACAAGAAGAAAATGGCTCTTGATACTAAAGTTAGATCAATCATAGCTATGTCTCTTACTGACGAGATATATCACTCTGTGATGAAGCTTAAAACCTCTAAATCCATGTGGGACACTTTATGTGTTTAATATGAGGGTATCACCGAGGTACAAGAGACAAGAAAGCTAAATCTAGTAACACAATATGAAAGTTTCATTTGTAGCAAAACTGAATCTTTGTCTGAAATACACCAATGCTTTAACTACCTTCTCATAGACCTTAGAACCGTTGTGTTGGTCCCAACCGGATCTATAAGGGTGTGTTTGGTGTCCAGACAAGACAGGACAATACAAGACATAACATGACAGGACATGATAGAACAACTGTTCAACGTTTGGTAAGATAAAACTGGACAAAACAGAACAGAACAAGTAAAATGACCAATTGATCCCTGATGAGTTGTTTATTTTAATTAATTTATGTAATTTATTAAATTATAATAGAATAATTAATTTATCAGCTTTGACGACATTATCATTGTCCTTAGTTTCTACAACAGCTTCAGCTTCATGGGATGTGATGGCATCTACAACTTCACCATCAACTTCATCTGCTTCAGCTCTTTCATCTTGAGCATCAACATCAATAGGTGTTATAGGGACAACAACTTGAGGTAAGTCTTTATCCCCCCTTTTTGTCATCAGCATAACGAAAGATGAGATTATCAAGACTATTGGCAATAAGATCCAATCATTGCACGGAATCAACCAGTGCTTGAGTTTGGAGAAGATCAAGCTCAAGCACTTGATCCAACGATAGTCAATCAGCTTCTGTGAAAAAAGGTGCAGGAACTGGCGCTGGACATTGAAGAAGATGCAGTATCTGCTGCATTAGCTCACCATGCCTGGTAACCTGAGCTTGTTCTTCATCAGCCTTGCTATTGAGAGCATAGATGGCCTCAACATTGGTGCGGACATCAGCTTGCACCACAGATAGCAATTCCTTTACCTCGTTGACTTCAGCTTTGACAACAGAGAGGTCAGAAGAGAGGTCTTCCTTGATAGGCATGTCTTGGTGAACTTGTTTCATTTTGTCCAAGACATCGGCTACCGCCGGGAGTAGAAGCTTGACATCTTCAGCCATATTGTAATCATCTTCCATGGCTGAAGGTTCTTCATCAAGAAGACCTAAAAAAGAAGATATTTGAGCAAAGGTAGCTCTTGGTTAGAAGAAATGAAAGGGCAGGAGGATGATATAGTACCTAAAGGATCATCAGCACTATCTGAAGGATTGATGCTGGTTCTCTCAAGGTTGCCTTTGAGAGGATAGGCTTTCGATGATTGAGGTATCTCGAGAGGAGCAACCTTAGGTCCTGTGGTGATTGCTTCATCACCAGTGATGACAGTCATTGATGAATCACCAGCATGTGTTGAGACCAAAGAATGAGGAGAAGAGAAGATGGTTGAGAATGGTGAAAGTGGGTGTTCAGCAGTGGATATGCTGATATTCACACCTTCAGTAATTTGGGTCACTGAGGCTGTTGGGAGAGGAGCCACATGTACGACAGTGACTGAAGAAATCATTGAAGAGCTAAGAAAGGTTATAACAGAAGTTGCCTCGGGAATAAGGTTTATTTCAATGACTGAAACCTGTTGAGAGGTGACAGCTAGGGATGTGGGTAGTCCCTTTTTGGCTTTCTTGGCACTCGATGGAGAACCAATAGTGTCTTGAAAGGAGATTCTTTTAGAAGAGAGCGTGGTGGTGGTTAGGATAGACTGAGGGGATTTTGTCTTAGTCTTGACCAGCGGAGCAAGGAAAAAAAGACATACATACACAGTTGGAGAAGATGAAAAAATATTGCACGAGGTGTCTATAAGAACGAAAAGTGCAATATCTGCATGTTTAAACTTGTGGTCCAAGATTCTAGACCCAAGCCTGCAAATAGACAAGTTTCCTTCTGTTGGGGATTTGTTTTTAACTCACATGTTAATATTTTTTAAATGTTTTTAATCATATATGATTTAAAGCTTGAAAACAAATAATTCAGATTAAACACCGAAAAAGAAAAATAATGAAAACAAAATTACATGTGATATCTAGCAAAAACATATTTAAAATGTCTAAGATCACATATACTTCAAAATATAATTCGTAATTATACATATCATATGTAATGTTGTAAAAAACTTACATTTTTTCCTACTATGATTAATATCATATATGATGCATTGATGAAAATTAGTGATTCTCTTTTAAGAAAAAAAAATATCGATTAATTATGGATTATCACATATGATTTTTGACGAAAATTATAAAAAATTATTAAATAAACTATTCAATAAAAATAAATATTTTAAATGAAAAACTAAATCACACTTATTTTAAATATTGTAAAAATTAATAAATAAAAAAATTATCATGCTTAAACCACAAAAATTATATAAAAAAATCACGATTAAATACCTTAATTAAATTTATAAAATATTTTTATAGAAATAAATAAATTTTCATATATAATATGTATAGAACAAATGACATATATGACTTTTTGAACGTTTTTTTAAGAAAATTTTATTTTTAAAAACTATCCACTTATTTTTCTTTAAATAGGTACAATTCTTGTATGAATCTGTATAGTATAAATTAAACTTCAAAACTGGTAATTGGTTTTTAATTCAGGTAAAAGATACAAAAACAGATAAAAATTGAATAAAAAGACAAAAACGCCCCTCAATATAAATATAAACATTTAATTTGGAGCAAAAAGAGTATGTTATTATTGACTATGTCCAAAATCAACAAAATCATATCATTTAAAGATGTGTCCATTTTTGCTATACATGAAATTAAAGGTTTTCTGATTCTTGCTCAAATAGGAATGTATTTTCACTATTTAACTGAATTAAAAAACTAAAAAATCATGCCCCATCCGCCCCCCAACATCCGCCCCCACCCCAATCTCCTTTAGAGAAATGGCATTTCCTCTGTGTATTTCCCATTTTGCCCCTTTCATACACCTTTATTTACTCTTACTCCTACCATCCCCCATCTTCATCGTCGACTCACTCGTCATCCCACACGAATTCGATCTGAAACCACCGGAAAATCGACCGCCGATGGGGCCTAACATCACCAAAGCCCTAATGGACGCCAACAATTTCAATATAGCATCATCAATGCTTTCAGCATCGGGAGTCCTGCAGGAAATCGATACTGAAAAAGGTGGAGCAGGGATAACCCTGTTCGTCCCTACCGACGATGCTTTCATCGATGTACCGGCGACGGCAAACATTCAATCGTTACCGGCCGACCAAAAAACCAATTTGTTACGTTTTCACGTCTTGCTTTCATATTACCCATTCGGATTGCTGAAATCGATAGTGAACCCATTTCAACCGACCTTAGCTACTGAAGATAATGGAGCCGGCATGTTCACCTTGAGCATTTCTCCGGTTAACGGGTCGGTTGCGATTAGGTCGGGCATCGTTGAAACTTCGGTGACCCAAACCGTAATTGATGAAAACCCAATTGCAATTTTTGCGATTTCGAGGGTTTTACTACCGAAAGAAATGTTCGGGAAATAATAGAAAATAATTTTTGCATTTATAAATTGAATTGAAAGACATATATGATTTATCTTTAAATGTGTTGGTAACTCGCTCTAAATTATAACTTATGGATAGATGTATAGAGGGAGAGTTTTTTTTTTATTAACTTGGATATTTAACCCGTTATGTGAACCGACTAATTCTAGGACGATTACCTGTTTTGCAGATAGTCTGGCGTCACCGCATTTGAACCTCTATGACTACAAAGGGATTTTTATTTCTCATTGGATTTGAACCTGAGACCTCCAGATACTTTTGACCTTTGGAGCCAAGCTCAAACCAATCAGGCACCACCCTTGTGGTTTATAGAGTGAGAGTTGTCGTGGAAGAGCATGAGAATCGTGAGGGGGAGTTCGATTGTTTTCGTGCACTTTTTTTTCCTTTGACTTTAAAAACTACGTAATTATGATTTTGAACAATAACTAGGGGTTGTTTGTTTACCTTTTAATAATTCCATTAAGAGGTAACATCTGAATCGTTAAGAGATGAATCTTGTTTGATAAAAAAAAAGTCTGCCTCTTAATGGCTCTAAAACCCTTTGAATGATTTTGTATCCTGGATCTACCTTAACCATTAAGAGCCCCAATTTCATTGTACACAATTACCAAAAAATTATATTTCATTTTGCATTATATCATGAGAGTCTCTTAATCATTCTGACCACTTAATCATTTTGCACCAAACCATTCAGCAATTACCAAACATCCCCTAAGTTTCCATATTTTTTAGATAAAAAGACAATTTATTGCGATTCCGTGCTAGTAAACTCATGAATTTGTTTGATGCAACAAAGCTTCCGTAAAAATGAATTTATACTTTACAAATCATAATGATGGTATACTCGTTGGTGTGTGGACCTAGTAAGGGGTAGGGGTGCTCATGGGTTGGGTTGATCGGGTTGAGGACATTTGAACAACCCAACCCAATGCTTGCGGTTTGGAAAAATCTTAACCCAACCCAACCCAAATCAAAGTGCAACCCAACCCGTACGGGTTGGTCGGGTTAGTCAGGTTGGTCGGGTTGATACTTTGGTATATTAAAATATTCTTCTAACCTTGAATATGTTATTTCTCTACTCATAATTTATTTTTCATCATCAACCATTTGTTACAACTTATTCATATTTCTTACGTATATCACATTCAGTTAATTTTCTCAATTTACATATATATATTCACAGTTACTGAATGAGTTATATAGAGATATGAATAGATTGAAAATATGTGTATATGAAAARCATACATGATAGTGTAATTGTCTAATGTATATATTAATAGAAATTCATCAATCATATTAAATCCAAGAAATAAAAAGATATCGAGTTCATCGGGTTCATCGGGTTGGGTTGGGTTCAAAAAATATCAACCCAATACCTACGGTTTGACAATTTTACAACTCGATTAGACATCGGGTTGCTTCGGGTTGGGTTATTTTACGTTGGGTTGGGTTGGGTTGATCGGGTTGGTCGGGTTGATCGGGTTTTTGAGCACCCCTAGTAAGGGGTACGTACATGTGGCATGTGTTATTGCTTCATTGTCCCGACGTAGTGACTTCTTTCTTTCTTTTATGATTTTTAAGGTGCCATCATATTGATTAGATATGTATAATGGTTTTGGTCAAATGAAACAGAAGAAATTACTCCACCAACCCGACTAACTCGTATGGTTTGAGTTGGGTTGGATTGAGTTGCACTTTCGTTTGGGTTGAGTTGAGTTGAGTTAAGATTTTTCAAACCGCAAGCATTGGGTTGGATTGTTCAAATGTCTTCAATCCGATCAACCCAACCTATGAACACCCCTACCTACTACTAGCCAACTGGTCTCATGTGTACCAGTGGGTAACTGGATATAAGTATGATACTTTACATTTACGTATGTTTGGTTGTGTAATATATGTGTCAATTGTGCCCTCAGAGCGCACAAAAGACGATTCAATATATGTAAGATATGAATCCCAACAATTATCTGCTAATTAGAATCCTTGATGGGTGATCTCTTTACCGCTAGATTTGTAGGTTGTCAATTTGATGAGATAGTCCTCCCGTCGTTAGGGGGAGATAGAGAAAAGAATTTTCTATGGGAACGACATGAAGTGTCACAAAATATTCCTACCCTGTCTTATTTTGATCCTTAAACTTTACAATATAAAGTTGAATTCAAATGAATCAGACTCGATACCTGATATGTTTAATGTTATTCCAAAAGTGACAAGATCACATATACTAGCTGGAACCTTAAGGTTAAAAGTCCCCAAACAAGGGCACAACTTCTCTAGAAAGTGTGTTGCAACTACACATCGTGGAGGTGTGGTTGAAGTCATGGCTCTCAAAAGAAAATTAGGGAAGCTACTTGGTTCTAGATATTCATCTAAAGGAAGAGAAAAGTAAGGCACAGACCATTTATCATCAAGAGCCATTATCATTGGTTGTGGAAGTCATTTTTGATCTTGTTTATGAATTTAAACAAACCGTTCTAATACCACTTGTTAGTCCTGAAAAGTGATGACTAACACACGAAGTATTTGTAGAAGGGGGTTAAATACAAATACAACAAATTTTCACTTTTTAATTCTAGATTTTATATTTTGTATAAAAAAAGAATTACAGATTTGTTATGGGAATTAGGAAGATAAGATCTATAATCCTAAACAAACTGGTTGTGACAAATCTGGTAAAACTGAAAAAGTTGGGGAAGGAAATACTCTTTCAGATCCGAACTACTGAGGAAGTTCTTTAGAAGATGACGCCAATATTATTTTAAAAACACTCACAAAAATGTTCTTTCAAAATGGATGAGTAACATTGAATGACAAGGGTGACCTTTTTATAGGCACCACTGCATTAAATGATATTGTCTAGCTTTTATGTGTGTCTTCTTTTGATTAACTGATCCATGCATACTAGCACTCTTCATTTCAGCCTATGAGTTTTATTTAGATATTTTGTTAACTTATCCCATCAATCTGTATGTCGGGGGAACAATAATGGAAGTATAGCATCAATAGGATAGTGCTTTTGTACTTTCTTTAGCTGATATGTTGTACATGTTTTCATACCAAAAAGAGAGTAAAAGAGTTGTTAAGCCAAACTTGCTGGCCATGTTTGTATTTTAAGATTCGGCTTGCCAGTAGTATTTATTAGACTACTAGTTGATTTTATCTTGTATTAATCTTCTTTTTAGCTAGATGGACTAACCAATCCGCTTTAGTGGCGATCTTGAACTGACTTCAACTGGTCTTCGATTTTGTTGAAGACGTTTTGCTCCTAGATCAATGCAGATAGTTACAAGACTTTTACAAGTAAAAACCATATTTTCTTCTATATGCAAAATATAAACTATATGTCGGATTTCTAGCCATAAACGTTTTATGAAGATGTTTTATCAGATACAAAAAAAAAAAGACTTGGTATGAATCACAACAATTGAAATATTAAGTTACAACATTTCTTTCAAGGAAACGAATCGAATTTCCATTGATAGGATGATAGTTTCAAGGTCAATTTAATCCATACAACGGATCCATTGATCTTGATATATATGAAACCTAAAACAACACGTTTGAATACACCAAGGTGAACCAACATCTGATGAATGAAGTTCATCGGATATGTTTCTTGTATAACAAGGTAAACAAGAACTTTCCTTTCTAAGTGTGTAGTTGGATGTTATGAGTATTATCATCAAATCTGATGGTTGACACCAACAGTTCCAATACAAAATCTCAAAGATTGTAATTATAAAAACATTTGTAACATTTTTGTGTGAAAAAGATTTAAAGTGTATTAAAATAATTCAATTAGAAATTTTAAAGTGTATTTCAATAAGATATTATACATAAAGAAAAAAAAATCTTCAAACACAATTTTTTATATGTTTAAATTAACTTTTTGGGGGAAAATGGAACTGTTTGGGCCTGGCTCGGGACTGGGAACGGTTCTAGGGACCGAGCTTTGCACATGGAGTACGTGCCAGGTAATTTTGGTCGGGATAGATTACAAAAGAAAATCTCAGACCGTGGTTGATCTGGGCTCGCCCCGCCCTAATTGGCCATCTCTAGTTATGTGTAAACCAGATGCACTAGTTCAAACAATGTACCAAATGATGCTCCAAAAAAGCCCATGGGTTTTGGACATGGACAACAAGAACATCCATCTTGGGCCAATAACCTTGATAATATCTACACTATCTTATAAATCATTTGGCTAAAACTATTAAAAACTGTTAAACCCGTTCATCCCTAAACGATTTCATCCCTATTCGATTTCATCCCATATATGAATTCGTGTAACTAACTACAGATAAACACAATCAAATACATGATAAACATCTC